CCACTAGCCGATGTCATCAGTGAGTATTTGTCCTCACTCCCGACGGGATGGATCCCAACGGTCACAATTTTTAGTGGTTCACTAAGTCATATCAAGCCGTGGTCAAACTTGAAACAAATCTTTATTTTCATTAGCCGCCCAATATTGTTTAAAATGTCAATTTGACTGTACAGTTTCTGCGAGGTCAGAAATAAACATATCCATATAAAACCAAATCTAATGTAAACAACATCAGTTTGATTATGAAACTTAAACAAGGAAGCGAGAAAGGGAGAGAGAGGATACCCAGAGGTTTGAAAATAAATGAATTACAAAAAAAGCAGTTAACTGGTGAAGAAATAATTATATTCTCAAAATACAATGAAATCACTGTGATATGGATCAAATCAACAGATTGAAGTCAGTAAGGTACACGGAACATGGTTATTTAGCTAGATATAAAACGATAAACCAAGTTAGGTACTCTCGAAAGAAATGGGGATGTGACGCTTGGTTTTCAGCTGACAGGAGTTGAGTTCGAGTGTGAATACATTCATACTACTACAAGTAACGAACTGTACTTTGAACGTCATCCAATTATTGATGATGTATCTGTGTATGTAATATCAAATAAACTTATCCAAAATGGAATGAAGAACATCTGCATCAAACTTGCAGTCGGAAAAACACAAAAGACATTTACATTCAAGAATAAGAAATGAGACATTTTAACTCATGACTTGCATAACAAATCTGTTTTCTTGACTACTAGTCTTCACTCTGCGTTTCAAATGGTATACGAGTACTCAGTGGTACGCCTCAACTACACTCAGCCCTCTGAAATAACTTTCACAGCCGCCTCTACGACTGCCCACAACCTTTCATTTCCCCTACACATGATTATTTACATGTCAAGCTCAGAACCAAATGTAAATCTTCACTCTTCTTTATTCATGTTACACTCAAAGGGCTGAGATTATGACATCATTTTAAGGTCACCTCCATGAATGTCCAACCTACATCTCTATTTCCGTCTGCATATTTCTTGGGGAATAAGTTTTTGACTGCTTCAATGGCGGAGTTCTTTGTTGCTTATGCTTTCTGACCGTTCGGTCGAGGTAGTAATCACAGGTGCCGTGGATAGTCTGCAGTAGCCATTTATTTATTATCAGACGTATACACATATGTAAATTGACCACGAGACAATAAAATGCAAAAACGTAATACATAATGGTTTGACCGCAGATTGATATCAGTTGGAGAACAACTGGAAAACCAGCAGGGATTACAAGAAAGCTATTTCGTTCTAGTTTGAGACTCGTTGCCATTACGTTCACACTACCATAGTTCGAATCCAATATCTGCGGGTTTTAAGGCGAGCTCGTGAAGCATCCTGCCACTGGGACTTGACTCAGCAGCCAGCCTATGGATTCTAACCTCTACCAATTCATGACTTTAGCGCGACCAAACTTGAAACAAATTCAATCCCTACAAATTAATACTTTAAAATTAATCTGATGATCGCTAGTGACTGTCAACAGGATGAAGTTGTATGGAGTACTGGTGAGAAGTAGGGTCCACCCAATTGGGAGTGAGTGCAGATACTCGCCGATGGTTTTGGCTGGTAGTTGTGCTAAAATCCAGTATTGGTAGAAGTTAGAACCCATGATTTGGGTCTCCCTGGGTGGAATGGTCTACGAGGTTGTCTTGTAACCGGAAGGTCCTGGATTCGAACCCCAGTGGGGACGTACTGCCAATGCGTCCCGATGAAACAGTTGTAGCGTATTCCGACCTAATTTTCAATGGTTCTTTAATTGATCTTAATCCCTGGTAAAAATAAAAAATCTTTCATTTCTCCTCTCCATGATCTAATTCATCTCTCTGGTTCACAAAATTCTTGTGGAAGACACCATACAATATACTACATATGGATTCTTGTCAGAAGCATACGTTACAGTGTGTTTCTGGAATATATATATATATATATATATATATATATATATATATATACTTTGCAATCAAATAGTGTCTACAGTACAACACATAGCTAAATGACTAGAGTGATCACATCATTAGATTTGATACTATTCATTATAATAGCTGTCATTGGAGCGGAGAGAAACAAGTCTATTCAGCCGAAAAGTCTAATCTGATCAGAATACTTATACAATATTTCATGACATAGTGTGTCTATGCATATTTTATATTGGAATGCAATTCACAATAAGGTAGAATATTCATTCACCTATTGCAAATAAGACATATATCTACATGCATACATACATAATATATTATTCAAACTATTTCATAAATTATAAATAAGTAATAGTCTTTCAAGTTAGTAAACAAGTCAAACGTTTTTAAAGAAACATTGCAGTAAACAAACAGCAAAAACAATATAGAGATCTAAGTGATTCTGTTCCACCTCACTACGCACTCACACACGCACAGACCACTTAGCAACACCACACTAAAGATGCCAAAACAGAAGTCAAGAAATGAAAACAAGAAAAAATACACAAAAGAAATAGGTTACTGAGGTAAACAACACCAACAGCAGCAACAACAACAACAAGACAGAAAGACCTAATTAGGAAAAAAGACAAAGTAGCCATGCAAAAATGTTGCACATGTCTATTCTGCTATTTCCGCCCTATAAAATAACGAAGTATTAAGGAATTATTGGTAGATTATTATAGGATAAATGAACTGACAAGAAGACTCTGGTAGACTTGAACTTCGTGGACGATTTATGTCCAATGTCACATAAACTTGATGTCCTTCGGGCGAAAACTAACAGACTGGCTGATGAAACACCAGCAAAGACAGGACTTCAAGTGAAAATAGAGAAGATGTAGGTGATGAAGGTAACCACAACCAAAAACAGTAACAACCACCGATCACAATCAGGGAGAGAAATTTGAAGAAAACTACTTCTTTCATTTATGTAGGCAGAGTCGTTTCAATTACAGACAGAACGGATGAGAATGTCAAAGGTAAGATGAGAAAAGCAAGACAGACATTCGGTTATTTGACATCAGTGTAGGAATCTTCAGCACTCAGCATAGAGGATAGGAATCGAACTTGCAGCACTAACGTCAATTCAGTGCTTCAATAAGTGTCAGAAATTTGGCATATCGCCAAAAGCATTTCCAACAGGCTACAGAAATTTATCAACAGCTTCATAGTGAAGATCAAATTTTCAGGACGGACTAAATATATTAGCTATGGAGTTATGACTGATGCACTCCACAACATAATCACCTGATTGGTAGGTTTATTTTGGACGATCCTAAGGGTCCTACAATCAATCAGATATATGGTCTGAACTTCCGTTGATTTGAAAACGATATATATATATATATATATATATATATATAGTGAAGAATAAACGTTGTAAGTGAATGTGAACAATGCACGTTTGAATACTGGCCTTGGTCGCCATTGGCGGGCAACTCGAAGGTGCAAATGATTCAGTCATGTACAAGTTGGAAGAAGACGACAGAATACGAATAAAAGTACAACACATCTCTTGTAAAACATTTGTTTATAGACTTTGTACAGAGTATTGACTTTAACTGCCGAACAATACAAATTTTTCTTGTTCCTTGTGTTTTGGAATTAAGGTCAATGTCGTTCATAGTAATTGTCGGTTCGAGCGTCTTCGGAGATAATAGGAACTTAGGGTTAAGTTCCTTGACAAGCGTTGTTGCTATTGTCACAGTTATTGAAGGTAAACCTGACTTCTGTGTCTATCTCATTGTGGGGGAATATTTTACACGTAATAAGTTGGCTATAATGTTGTTTCTGGAGGTTCACTGAAATCAAGCTAAACAACAACCAGCAAAACCAGTAAAACTCAGCTTTAACATAGATGGCCAGACGGGAAAGACAGACAATTAGACACGAACAGGCTAATAACCGGTCGCTCAACAAATACACCAAATAAAATGGAGATGGATAGGACACACGCAACAAGGAGACCACTGATTCACATCGGGCGCTACCTAATTCCTTCAAATGAAACCCGGGAAGGAAACGACGAGTTCAGTGTCAATCCGAGAGTGACACTGAGGATACCGTGTGACGAGAAGATGAAAGCTTATGGACAAGCATAGAGCCTGCTAAAGAGGACCGCAGATGTGCATTTGACGCCCAATATTCTACTCGGAACACAAACGAATAATAACAGTTAAAATAAAAAAGACGATAAGTCAGTCCACTCAACGACTGTGAATTTTAATGGATTGGAAAAGCTCAATTTCATGGCTTATATGAGCACAGTTTTAACCGACAGCAACTCAAAAACTCAAGAAACTTTCTTGAGCCCGAAGACCTCAGATATAACGTCTTTGAATACACTGAAAAGGGATATTGATTTCAATCCTAAGGGACACATCAGTTCCTTCCTTTGAGGTTGCAGATACGCACTAGTGACGAGTGCCGACGAAAAAGAAACCTAAGCTCTGAGCTTTCAGACAGTTTCCTCAAACTATCTAAAAATAAGTGAATTCTGTCTATGGGGGCAAGGTTTATTCGCATAAGTAGTCGACTCTCGATAAACGGGTCCCGGATTTGCATCACACTCCACCTACTTAGACTTGGGTAATAGAGGGCTGACTAACTAACAGCAACAATAACTGATTAAACTAGAAACTTAACACAAAAAGGGTACTTTATGTGAGGTAGGTCAAACTTCATCAATTGTTGTCAAGATGGTTGAATACTGAAACCAAATGAAACGCATTGTTGTTGTCAAAACCCAGTTAACCAGGCACCAGTCTGCAATACATACTGTGTGTTAGTGCTAACAATATCAGTAAATCGTTTCTACTCAGGTAGGTGGCTTGTGATTTGAACTTGGGATCCATTCAGGTGAAAGCTTATCTGTTTAGAGCGAACGGTGAACAATATCTCCACTCAGAATACTCAAAGTGGTTAACACTACTACGCATACCATTTGTTATAGATGAAAAATAATGAAAAATATCTACATTTTGAAAAAAACAGAAACGCCTTACCTTCTTGGCATAATTAAATGTAAACGTCGCCATAACAACTCAAGTGAATGTGTAAACTTTCGATTGACGCTTAAATATCCACAATTGGCTTTCAGTAATAATAACCTTGGACATTGTTCAGCTAATACTGTGCCAAATATTAATAGACAATCTAAACCGTATAATTCAATCGATTGAATTAATTGATTGATCATGTAGATAAGTGTTTTCCATTGTGAACATGTATTAGATAAGTTTTCCAATGATGAATAGCATTCATTTGATGAAGTAGACAACTGTGAGATAACTTGTTCAAAAGCTAAAAATTTTATTAACAGTAAGAAATTAAAAAGGAAGAAGAAAACAGACAAAAACAAAACAGATAAGATTAAAAGGAAACGTAAAAACAGACAAAAAACGAGAGCTTGAAAACATCCCATAATATATTACATAAACATGCAAACAGTGAATAGTTAAGGAAATCCATCTTCAATGGATGGACTAAATTTTTGAGAAACAAATACCTACATCAATCACTGTCCATTCAACATGTTATGGTAGTAGCTAACGATCAGTTGTCCGAATAAAAAATCAATTCATGAGTACGTCATCAGAGTAAAACCAAAGACAATAAGAATACCAGAATGAAACTTGTAAATTTTGCTAAAATATATTAAATTTTATCTTAGCAAACTTCACGTTATGTTACATAATGTTTTAATTGCCTACTAGTCCGCCATTTAAGAAAATAATTAAGGATTCTACATATTGATTTGCATATTTTTCTGCAAATATATATAGCACTTTATTTTAGTCCTACTTAATAAAAACATTTTTGACGGTCACATCGCAAAGTCATTGATAGGAGGATAGAGCACACTGCTGAGCACGTGTGCACTGATAGGAAGTGAAGTGGCTGTTGAGCGTATTGTCCACTTGACTAATTTGGGGAGTTGTATCAACCCTAATGGGTTGATCACTGACGAAATCTCAGTACGGATACAGAAGGCTTGTTAGGCATACGCCAACTTACACCATCTCTGGCTTGGCAAACGTGATATCCAGCTGTCGATCAAAGCGAATGTGTACTGCACAGCAGTTCGCTCTGTTTTGCTTTATGGATGGCTGTGAGACATAACAATTGAAAGTGGAAGGCACGAAAAGGCGAGCTGTCTGCGTTCTATCTCCCATTTTAAGTAGTAAAATAGAGTGAGAAATATTGAGGTTAGGCATCAGTCAAGCGCTACGTAAGTGGAAGGGGAAATCAATCGACGAGGTTAAGAAGTAGCTGCATCCATTGAGATGGTTAAGAAATTTTTTACGCATGCTAGCCTAGCCATAGTCTTCCTTGACAACCCGCAATGTCAGCTGACTCACATAGGATGCATCAGGTTGGAAAAGAGCTAGTCGTAGTCAAATCGAAACGTAGCTTCATCAGTCAGTCAAATCTACAACAGTTAGTTTAGGCCAGTCACGTAGGGAGATGTAGACTTCCTGACTAACTTGCTGGGGTCCTCGGGATGGAAAACACCAGTGAAGGCTGGAGACAATTGGTGATATGGCTCAAAGTGATCGTTGTCAATGACTGGTGCAGATGCATTCACTCTTTGTGATTTGTTGTCATATCCAATAAAACTATTTGTTCTTCGATATTAGTATTGTTTTTCCTCGCATTTCTGTTTATCTCTCTCTCACTTTTGAATCTCCTTTTACTCTCTTCTCTTGCTTTGTGTGCTACACGGAGGAATTGTGGCTACTAGATCTGCTGCACATCTGTACAAAGTTTTACATCGAAACCAGTCAGTCACACTTCCTTCAATCGATAACGGGATAATCACATCTACACTAGATATGACGTCAGTTGACAAACGCTACCCATACGAGTCTTTTGTATCCTTGCTGAGATTTCGTCAGCAGTTGATTAGGTCTGATGTAAATTCCTAAATAATTGAAGTCGTCAACACGCTCTACCAATTCCCCCCCCCTATCCCTTAAGCTAGTAGACGGTGTAGTTCAGTCCTATAGCATCATCTTACATTTGAGAGGAGCAAATCGCATTGCCGAACATCTGGGTATTTCTATTCGAGGTGTTCAGAAGACTGTATTTAATCAGTGCCTTTTCTACCAAAGGAGACAATATCATCCGCATACTCCAGGACAAGAAGATAGTATCCTGGTAACAATGCGAAGTGACTGAATGTAAATAAATAACTAAAGAAACTACTGAGTGGGATAAAAGTTAAAGAATGTTCACCTTGAAAAATACATGACAAATCTATTTCGTACACACATACTTTTACAAATTATCCTTAGCTTGAAGAAAATTTCAAATAGTGAAAGATACATGCACACATACACACATATACACAGTCTGTAATGAAGCATTCAGCTAAGCTGTTACAATTTATCAATAGGCTAACTATGGCCGCTTCTTTTCATATTTCGCAAACATAATAATAAACTGGAGTTCACAATAGTGACCTTGACCGTATATAGGGATAAAAACATAAGCGATAAAGTGTGCGAAATGCACATCTGTCAACAGTTTGAAATTAACTAAAATCTATGTGTGAATAAATCATCTATTGTGTATAGGCTAAGGATACTAATTCGTTGTTAAAAGTAGGATAGATACAACCGAATTCGAATCTGTATCCAAACACTAGGAAGGTGTTGTTGCTTCATTCAACCTTTGGGTTTGCATACTTTACGGATAAGAGATAGTCATCCATGTGTTTGCCTCATACAAGACACTTTAATGCCAACAAAATCGATAATGTTTTCTGTTTTAACAGGAGACGTAGTAAACAACTAGGAACTACCCCCTAACAATTTTTTTTTCATCAGACAATACCTATTTTAATAACGTACAAAGAGAGTACCACGTTTCAATGAGTGAACACTTGAACAAGTAAACAAGTACATGTATCATGCAAAAGTACATAAACTTAAAAGAAATCCATGACAATGCCAAAACTATTAGTGGACTAAACAGATGTCTGTTTGAACTAGTTTACACCAACCAAACCCTTTATATAACAGAGAGGGTATGAGTCAAACCTGTTGTGCATGTGTGTGTGTGTGTGGATTGGTGATACTACTCAATTTCCCGAGAAGAAATATAATGATTATCCACAAGAGCAGATGGAAATGACTCAAATCAAACATCAGTGCTTGTTATTCAGACCAGATAGTCGTTTCGTTGATTTTAAGACCAAGCCGATTGGCAGTGTACCTGGTTATACTCAGCGCACAGAGCCGAATCAGTTCAGATTAGTTGTGTTAACTAATAATGCATAGAAACAAACTCATCATTTAAGAAATTTCACAATTCGTGGTGAGGTATTATCGCGGTTCCATTTTGAAAAACAAAATTATTTACACGACATTATGTAGTGGATTGAAATGAGTTGAGCTCAACCGGATACACCAATGATCAGCTTGGTTTCAAGAGAGTGAAGTGTCATTCGATGTTTGCATTATTACCATTTCACATGAGTGATTTCCAACTACTCATATCAATAGTTAGTAGTATATAGTATCACACTGTCCAACTAATGTGGTCATGTGAATTGATCCTATCAATATGTGAACTAAGCCAACAGATGTTTTATGATATTCATCTACATCCCCGCACATACACACACAAAAAAACTTAATGTTAATCAAAAAGCCTTATTGTTTTTTGTACTCCGCTCTTGAGATAAGTCTTTTATGTCCTAGTAGTCTATGATAAGCCACACCTTATTGTATGAGGACTAGTGATACTTCCTAGCTGACTAGACTGAAGTAGGTGGAGCGGGTTTTGAGTCCAAGACCAACTAACTAAAGGTTGAATGTTTAAGCTAATGAGCCACATCTTCACTCAAAATGAACTGTTTATAAGGCAAAATTGGTTCCAGCGACCACTAGCTGATTGTTCACATTCTTTTATCATAATGATTAAGGTGAACATCAGTCACTAAAATAACATCATTATGCCATTTTACTAACTAAACAAGGTAGATAATGAAAGAAAATTTCCCAACTGAATATTAGATATAACTAGGAAAGTTTGACTAAGTAACAAACAATTGGACTAAATTGATGATTAGCTCTAACAACTTTTGGAATATGAATCTAATTGACTGAAGCAATGCTAAATTCACACGCACACACAGGCATACATAAATACAATGAATATTTCTATACAGAAAAAATAGGATATTCTCTGAACACTTTATATAGAAACAGGATGACATCAAGATGATAATCACAACATAATTCAAAGGGCTGAATAATTGTTTTATTTTATTTGATGTATACTATGCAAGCTTAGTTCCCATACTCAATGAATAGTGGTAGTACATAGACAAATGAACTGACAAGACAATGTAGAGCCTTTCTAGAGAAGTGTGTCAATTCAATTGTCCAAAATTACAATTAGCTGATTTTTTCCTCGCTAAGTTAGAGAATGCACCACTGAAAGGAGTAATTAGTGACTTGGATTTCTACTGCCGATATATGGATGATACATTTCTGGTCATAAAAAACGAGGACGATGCAATGAACATCCTTTACAAGTTTAACGATGCCCATTCAGCAATAAACTTTACCATAGAGAAAGAAAGTAATGACAGTATCTCATTCCTAGACGTCTTCATGGCAAGGAAAGAAGATGTCACACTAAGAAGGAGTGTGTACAGGAAATCTACTACAACAGGTCAGTACACTCATTTTTTGAGTTTTGTACCTTTGAAATATAAACGTAACCTCGTGAAGTATCTGGCTCATAGAGCTAGGTTAATCTGTTCAGACGACTACTTCAATGAAGAGCTTAAGATTATTAGAGAATTACTTAGAAAAATGGTTATCCAGATAAGTTCATCGAGAAAAATATGAATTCATCACCTAAGACAGTCACTATGGCAACAGTTCCGAAAAAACCACTGTTCATAAAACTGCAGTTCCTTGGTGATAACATCAGCGAAATAATAACACAACGACTGAAGAATGCAGTTAAAAGAGCTTATTATGCAGCAGAGGTACGTTGTCTCTTCACAACCACACCTATTCTACGTTCGAGTAATAAGGATAAACTACCTAAATTCGCCTCTTCTATGTGTATCTACCAGTTTGACTGCAGCTGCGGAGCCAGCTACATCGGGCGAACAATTAGGCAGGTTCATCATCGTATTTCCGAACATCATCCGGCATGGTTAAGCAAGGGACAAACAAGATCTATTAGTAACTTTATTTTGGCCCACCTTGTAGATAGTGAGCATAAGGTTGAAGTTAATACTGTATTTAAAATTATTTATCGCATTCCTACTAATTTTAGTTTTGCTTTACGAGTTCGTCTTCCACATACAGCTGAAGCAATAGGAATCCACCTGAAGAAGCCAAACTTGTGTGTTCAGAAGAAATTTGTACAGCCCATTTCTTTACCTTGGCCATTGTTACATGATTGCATAAACCGGACTACTTCATCCCCCACCCCCTAAAATTTTTTTCTTTTTTAAAAAACTATAAAATCTATAATTGTCCAAATTATTTTATTTTTCTGACTACTTCATCTTTAATTACTTGTTATCCTTGTAAAAATTATTTTATTCTTATTATCACTTCAACTTTAGTTACAAATTATTGTCCAAAATGTTTAATTTTCTTTAACAATATGTTACCTAATCATCTTGTGCACATGCTTATTGCTTAATTGTTCTTCATTTTTCCAAAATTATGCATTATCCAATCCACTTGTTGTAATCATTTCACACCTTTTAATTATACATATTCATTTTTCTTCGTTAATTATCACCCCATTGACATTTTGACACTGACCAATTATTGTTAATAAACATATCACCACTTGATTGGTAAATTGTTGTGTATTGTAATAAAAATGCTATACGTGTATATTAGAATAGAGCCAGAGATGAGGATCTAATTGAAAAGTAAATATTTCTTCGCTCAATCTTTCTGTTTTCTAAATGTTTAAATGGGGATTTTTCCTACATTGAAAATTACAAAACTCTGTGGCACATGGAAAAATTGTCGTGATACTACTATGAAAAAGATATGTGTGTATGTGTAAGAGAGAGAAAGAGAGTTATGCCAAATTACGAGTGCTGAAGATATGCAAATTTCGACGATTTTCATTAATCTTATCAAAGAGTACTTAGCCCACAGTTTTAATTATTTCCTTATCATCCCGAAAACCTCTGACTCTTCTCTCTAAACAAATTGTTTTCTTTTCTTGGGGGGGGATATGCTTGCATTATTATTATTACCAATTTTCCCAGGGAGGAGATATTTAGAATATTATAATGGAAACTAGCAACAGGAAGGCGAATTAAGGATATTTGTGTTTCAACCACTTATTTAAACTACAAAAAATATCCATATAATTACCAATCAAAAGACAGGTGTAAGTAAAGAATATTCTTTGAGTAACTTCTACTCATCAGCAAAGCTGTACTACAGTTGAGTAATCTTTCTAAAAGGTTATAGAAACTGCTAATAAAGGTCATTTATTATTAATGTCAGTTGATGATAGTTAAACATACTGTACTAAATGCGTCAGTGGCACAGAGATAGAATACTCGCCAACCACGCCTCACGTGGTTTAGGGTTCGATCCCCGGCCACCGAAGCACTCCTTTACCTCGCTAAGCCAGTAATAACACTTGTAAGGAGACAAAGGTGGGCATGAGGCCAACAAGTCTATCTCGTAAAAGTAAATACCAATGCTACGGAAACTTTAGAGCTCTAGCTTGAAGCCCTACGTCCCACTGGGAACGTAAAGGAATAAAAACAACCGTACTACATGTGAGGAAGAAAATTAATGAACTGCAAAATCTGGCTAATTAGTAATGTAAAATAGCAGCAAGTAATGAATATAATTCAGAAATGGTTGTGACTCCTGTTATGAACAAAAGACAGCTACAAAACTCCTTGAAAGGTCTTCTAGAAACAATATTTAACTGTACAGTTTATAGATGAGATCACTTATTTCCCCCTTAACATCTTAATTGCTAATTTAACTTTAAAACAGTAACTGCCTGCACGCATAACCTTTTTTTAATGCTTACTGTCCCCGATTTTATTCCGAAGATTAATGACTTATGAGTAGGAAAAATGATTTCAACTATATTAATTCACTGATTATGACATAATGACACACACTACTAGGGATCAAAGAAAGATAAGTAGTTAATAAACAGCAAAAAAAAATATTACTTTATCAATATTCAATAACTAAACGATTTAATTTAAACAAAGCAAAAAAAACAATTAAAGCAGAATAAAATGGATCCGTTTTGATGTTAGACGGTTGGAAGCGATGGGTTGCTAGCCATCCTGACCTCACCTAGATTCCATGACTATTGAACTAATCACAGAGGAGTATTCACCTTCACAAAGGAAATGATGCCTCCTGAGTGTTGCCGTCAGAACATACTACCTGATTGCACATGACAGTTGTTACATCCTGGTGTAAACACCCGCAATACTATCATCAAGGAATATAAGTTTACGGGGTGAGCTTGGTGAACATTCAGACACCGGATTAGAATTCAGTAACGCTTACATTCATAGGATTTAAGGCAAAATTAAACACTATGACAAGAAAAGAGAAAAACAAACCTTCATTCAATTGTTCTTGATTAAATGACAAAAAGTTCTCATATGGAATTGATAACAATGATGAAGTTGATGATGACGACGAACGACAATCTGTTGTCTGATTCATCATTACTCCTGATGTCACAATTTTCAATGGATCTGTGGATAATTTATTTGCACATTTATCTACACCAGTAGACGACAATGCATTGATGACACGTATAGGTTCATGCTCAGATTTCCATATGGGATCGAGTAGTAATTCATCCTGTATCATCATTTCACCCATTGTCAACTGAGGAAAATGATTTGTTACCAGTCTGTAAGCAGACAGGTAAGAAAAAGTAAAAAAAGAACATAATGACATATGCATAGGGAAACACAAACACGAAAATCAGCTTTACAATAGGATCTATTAGGTGGCGTGCGGCATTGGTAAGATTTATCAGTAGAGAGATAGATTTGATGTCATAGAAAGCAAATAATACAGCGTTGCCAAGATATATGAGAGACGTGAAAGGAACACAAAGAAACACAATATGAAGGAAGGCGAGAAGTAGCACAACACGGAAGATCTGTGCAAATGATGATTTGAAGATAAGGTCTACATAATTTCGCAACATAGAGATATCAAACTGCAAATAAACATTCCCTTACCAAGTCTCTCGTCTTCTACCGTTACGATTATTGTGAAAAGGGTGTAATGGGTAAGGGAGAATGATGCTCCAAGATGCTTCATGTGCTCTTCGAAGTGTGTGGACGGTTGTTACTTCCCTGCTGCCCACACCGTGAAAGTATTGTGATCTTTTCTTTTCTATTGTGAAAAGATAACTACAGACTAAAACAAACACCTAATAACATGATCGAACATGTGCTCACATGGCTGTGGAATACATCCTTGTATGTTTGTGTGTGTGAGAGAGTGATCGATAAAGACTGCGAATCAGGAAACACTTACCCTGCAATCTACACACTTTTTGTATGAGGCTTGATGATACTACCCAGTTGCCTAGGCTAAAATATGTGTAGAGAGATTTGGACCTATGGCTCGTTGGCTGAAAGCTGAATAAATGAGCCAATAAACCATATCACCGTGTGATAAAGACTAATTCAGTTTAATAATTAAAAAATAACAGCAGTGAAATCACCGGCTTCAAGGATTTCCATATACATTTGACAATGTGCCAGTGTAATCAATCATATATGCGTTGGTAACATCACCGGACTACAGAAACCTCTGTATAAGAGAGAGGAATTCAAACTAATTATCATTGAATGAGACCTCCCTTAACCAACTGCGCCACAAATTGTTACGTGTGAATAACGAGATGCAAAGTTACATGATATGAATGCATTACAATAACTCAACCTTCTCTTAAAAAAAAAAAAAAAAAATAATCGAATAGCTAGTGAATTTTTTTTTTACTTCGGCTATCTCCTACGGGAGGATGAGCCGGCTTCATGAACCATGAAGTTTCATGGGAATTGGGTACGAGTGATGTCCCCAGCATCGCTCGGCCTTTGTTTGAGAGTGTAGCTCTAGCCTTTACACAACCAAGTGTGACCTACAAGGCAGTAGGAGTGGAGTAGGGAGTCCACTATCCATTGGCAGCCGGTGACCGGAGTCCGGTTCATTCGCCTTTTTGAATGGGGCCAGTCATCCAGGGCATCCAATAAGCCCTTTGTCCATACGTCTGCCGGTAAGCTCCGGTGAGCTTCATACGCTAGTCGTTGGAGGTTTGGAATCAGGGTTTAGCCATCTCCCCTAGACTGTCATCCAATCGACAGTCAACCCGGTGAAGAGCGCCGGGCATCCGCTTTTGCCCTCTCACTTTGGTGAAAAACACCTCCGCCACGTGAAGGCAGTGAGTAGGACTTCCTCAGGAGAGGCTATGTAAGACAACCGGTCATATGGGAGCATTTCAAGAGGTGTACGGAGGGGTGGCCAACCCGCAGCGCAAGGCACCCACCCGCGACCATCCTGAGGCTTTGGAGGCCTAGTGAATGAAACAATCTAAGTGACAGTTAGCTACCTACTAATTGGTAGTATTTATTAATATATCATTTTGATGCAGGATAACACCTAGTACACTTTGGTTTACTTATATCCTTGCTACCACTTAGTGTGTATATATAAGATAAACAACCTATTCAAATCAATAGGATGGTTAATAAAGAGTATCAAACATTCTGTATGATAAAAAATCTACTTTTTTTCTCTAATCTCAAAGATATGAATGAACTGATACTGATATTGAACACAATACGTTATCTTTTCCTTTTTTCAAAGGACAGAAAGCGTTTGATTGACACGTATGAACAAAATGAACATATCAAAAAGAGATAAGTGAGGCTTAATCATTATTTTAAACCTAGAAAACCGTCAAAAAATTGAAAGTTTTATCAATCCGCTTTATATAAATATCATAAAATACTACTCTTATAGGCTAAATGCACAATTCCGGTGTTTAGAATTTTAAAAACAAACACAACCATGGTGTACGTTATATGAATATACATATGTCTCTATAAACGACTTAGTACGAGTGAAGGTGAATGAACTTTAATCTTCCTCTTGAAATCTTCTCATGTGACCACAAGTTCATAACCTCTGCCAGATGAGTTCCATTCACTACCTCCACATAATGAAGGTATTTCTCATAAAAGTGAAAGGGTGTGTGTGAACATGTAGTACCTAAAACAGCGCAGGTGGATATGCAGGTCTACGTAGCGAAGCAAGAGGACTCTAATTCCATACCGGTGGTGTACATGGACTCCAGAATCCAAAAGAATCAAACGGCTTACGAAGTTGTATTTGGAAAAGTAGCTCCAGACGCTGCTCTAATGACTTTTGCGTCGAAATTCAAGCTTATTACTAGCAACGTGGCTCCGTAAGACAACCACCAACTTCGTTCCCGACCCCCAGGTAGTAGTATTCTAGCACTCACACAAACTTTGAGATTCCGTGTCGCGCCTTTCTTGGTTCCAAGAACCAATCACAAAATCTCAATTTTTGTAAGGTCTCGGATACTGTGTGGATATCCGGACCGAAGATGGTGGTTGTTTTAAGGTGTCACCCTAAAAGCTTCAGGCGTGAAATCTGGCCCACAAGGGAATAGAGTATTATCATCAATTACGTAAGAAATGAGGCATAGTTTAGTTTTTTTTAAATAAACAAATCAGTTGCAAAGATTCTCTGCTCTTCTGCATGCTTGTGAGTATGTGAACTGGTTTGTATTTAGCATAGGCAGCCAAAAAATGCGGGATGAAACTAGCGAAAAATTCCATTAAAATAACCAGAACAAAACAAATAAGACCAAAAATGAATAATAAAAAATAAATAAATAAAAGCGAAAAATGAGTAGCAAAAGATAAAACTAAAAGCGGTAAATACGCTTACTAAAAGAAGGCGAGAAAAATACTGAAGAAGCAGGACGACTGAGAAAATATACCACACTGTAATTCAGTCAAAATCAAAGATGAAATTAGCGAAGTGCTCAATATACATCATTAATGAAACTTGTTTCCTTGTTAACTGGGTGGAAGGGGAAATCTCGCTATCTAGACAAGTCGTTTAAGTTCAATTACCAAGAACAAACATTTTTTCATACACCAGGCTACGAGGAACATAGTATTGTTTGAGGGCTAGTGATGCTACCCACTTGTTCAGGTTGAAATAGCTGTAGAGGGACTCGAGGTCACCATTGGCTAAAAACCTAAAGCTTAGGCCAATGACGTACATCTCCACTCAAGACAAATGCAATAAAAAAGATAAGAGTATTGCTCAACAAAACACTTGCCGAATTTCAATATAGTTAGCAATCAGTCCTACTTATTGAGTGAATATGAATGATAATGCCTGTTTAAATCTTGCCAGATGGAGTGGATTTCAAATGGTTTCAAGTCGAATGCCCAGACCAATGGGCGACAGCTTCACAGACAAATTATGTGTTTAATTCCAGGCCACTAGAAAACCTCTTTATGTTTTGAAGATTTTCAACATCAAAGTTCATATATATGCAGGATTTCCTTCATGTTATCATAAAATTTGTTCACAGTAGCCACCTTTTTCACTGCTTTCTAACATCCAACAGAATGCTACTCTAAACTCAAGTATACAGTTGCGTGATACTAAGATACAATAATTACAATTGTACATAAAATGAGCTGTAAAGTATTCTTTGAAATATGTAAATGACGCAGAAGCAACCAACTCTACTATATATAAAGAGAGTCAATGGTACCTGAGACTAGCTGAAGTCATTTTTGAGACGTAGAACTTAAAGTACACACACACACACACACCAGTACCTGTATTTTACACAGTAGTTCTGGCTGCTTTTTTGATGACTCTGTTTTGTGAATTATGCATTTTCATACAGTTCTCTTTCGTTGTTATGTTATACAATTTATGTCATCAATAAGATAACCGAAAAGAAAACCGCAGACATTTTGTAAGAAGAACAAAAGGTTCTTAAGATAATTAGTTAATAAAAAAACGTCTACGACGACAACAAAAACAAAAACAGCAAAATAGGTAATCGAATTTTTTTCAAAAATCTAATTGTTATTCACATCTCAACAAAAGAAACAGAAAGATGGAGGAGGGAAAAAAGACTACAACTCCCATTATTGTCTCCATTCTCCTTCTGTTATTTAATCATCATTTGTACACAAGTATAATGATGAGATGAGATGAGAAGAGAAGAAAAACACAATTTGAGGAGATATACAAAAATCCTGTCTAGCTTATGTGATGTTTTTATGTTACAAACATAGACTACTAATTAGGAAATAAGTAGCTATTCTAAACATTTTCCCGATTTATTGACTGGTCAAATTTACTGTTATTTATTATTATCATTATTTCATTGAGTTTTGAGTGGATTATATAGGGATTCAAGAGCACATCTATGTTTCTTCCTGTCCTCCACAGTTTTCTTTATCTGGCTCTGCGACTGTCCATAGTCCCTTATCTCCTCTTTACACGATCTCCTCCATGTCACACGCTCCCTCTGTGAATCAAGCTTGGACTCAGATTGATCATACTGCTATCAGTTTCCGGTGGCGACGATGCATACAAGACTGCCACTCCTTCTGGAGCACATGCCTTGACTCCAATCATGCGTTAGTGTGTGCCAGGCTCGTCTTGCTATTTGGTGGGGTTCATATAAGGCGTCGTCTAACCGTTAATGTGAGCAAACTAGTACCACCTGCTACTTCTTTGAAATACCAGAATGAGTTACAATCAATGCCTGCCAGCAACCCCCACCCCCCATCAAGTGGTATAGATGGACATTGACTTCATCTGCAAGGTGCCATGCAAATGACGAGTGAAGCCGCTTGAGGCTTGAAAGAATGCTCCGTTAAGAACCACTGAGTTTCTGCAAGTTCCTCGCAACTCCTGGATGGACGCCGGTCCATTCCGGCTGGTAGCGGATACAACATTAAGCGAAAGGCGCTTACGCGCAAGATAAAACAGTGTTTATGTAAGGACCACTAAGCCTGGCGGTCAGAACGTGCGTGTGAGATGGAGTCAGCTGCTGCATCTGGCAACGGTCGGAAGCTGTTCCAACTCATCCGAGCCACCGGCATCAAGAAACAAGGTGTCAGCGAGACGGCCTGTGAGGTAGATGGCACGCCAATTACCAGTCTGAAAAGACGCCTGGAACGTTGGGCAGAGCACTTCGGGAAACAGTTTAGCTGGCCACCAGCTTCAGTATCTGTTGTTACTAGCTCCAGTGCTCTTAGGTCGGTTAGTTCCGACCCACCAACCGAAGCGGGTGTCCATAAGGAACTCCAAGTGTTAAAACGCTGTAAGGTACCTGGCCCAGACAATCTACCGCCGGCTCTCCTTAAGATTGTGACGAGACTCTCGTAATAGCTTTAACTGGATTGTTCAGGAAGGTATGGAAGACTGAGAGTGTTCCATCAATGTGGAACGAAGCCATTATCGTCCCCATCTTTTAAAAGGGCCGACGTGCTCTGGAACTATCTGTTAGAGAGGAGGTTACCTGAGAAGTTTGTTAACAGCTTGAAATCCCTATACGGAAACACTTCAAGTAGAGTGAGGGTATACAACCAACTACCATCGCTGTTCCCAACCAACAGTGGGGTTAGACAGGGTTGCCCAATCTCTCCATTTCTCTTTAACTTCTCAGCTCTGAAGGATGTGCGTGAAGGTGGTGTAGATCTGCTACCTGGAGATAGACTTTTCGATCTCGAGTATGCAGACGATATCGTCTTACTGTGCGATAGCATGCAGGCTGCCCAAATCGCACTTTATCAGTTGGCGATCAGTGTCTGTAAGTATGGTATATGCTTTGCGCCGTCTAAGTGCAAAGTACTTTCACAAGATTGGCAGGAGCCTGTACCTCCACTCACTGTTGCGGGTGAACCGCTTGAAGTTGTTGATAAGTTTGTGTATCTGGGTAGTTGTGTGAGTGCTGGCGGAGGGGTGACGGATGAGATTTCCAACCGTATAGTGAAGAGTAGGGTGAGGTACATCAACTTGAGCCACCTATGGCGCCGTCGCGACGTTAGCCTGGCTGTCAAAGGTCGGGTATACAATGCTTCGGTGCGGGCTGCTCTGCTCTACGCCTGTGAAACCTGGTCTCTCCGAGCTGAGGATGCACGGCGACTCTGCGTGTTCAACAATCGCCGTCTCCGCAGGATTGCTTGCGTTCGATGGCATCATCGCGTGAGTAATTCTGAGGTTCGGGGGTGGGTGTTTGAACACAGTGGGGATCACCAGTCGTTGAGTATCGTCATCTGGAAACACCAGCTCCGGTGGCTTGGACATGTGCTGCGAATGTCATCTCAGAGGCTTCCGTTCGATAGCTCTGTCAAGGGATGGAAAAGGCGAAGAGGTAGTCAGTCCATGACGTGGGGTCCTGGGATGAAGGATTTTTGTACTAGATTAGCATCAGTTGGTGCGTCACAACTCCCTGTTTGGAGTTCGAGTGATAGCTCGAAAAGTTATCGGATATGGCCAAGAATCGTAATCAATGGCGAACGTGTTGCGATTTCCTTTTTTCTTCCCTTCCCGATGATAGTTGACGAATGCTGTTTGAACTTGTTAAGTGTGACTGTTTCCCTTCCAGATGAAGTTTTTTATCCGTTCTCTACCCATATTTTTACTTTTAATCTATGTTTTATTATTATTATCATTGTGTGGCGCATCTTCTTGGTGCCATATTGTACCAAATTTTTCTGTGTTTAAATAAATAATAAAATAAATACGTCCACGCTCAGACGGGTAACTCTCATCGTTCACTTCCTATACAAGTTCCAATTTAATGCTTGGCACGTGATCTCAGTCAACAGCCTCATATGAGCGTGTTTTCAATCCATCTCCAGTTTTTCCACTTCTAGAGAATAATGATACTACCAAACTGATAAAGATAAAAATGAGTAATGGAAGAATCAACCATTTTGATTACATCTGACTGTCTTTTTTTAAAAAGAAATATAAATAAAATATTAAAAGAAAATCAAGATAACTTACTGTAATAATTTTGGGTAAAGAGCACGATAATCAGAAAGATGTGAACGGGCGTATTGTAGAAGATATGTTATCGGTATTATATCCCATAGTTTATCAGAATAAACACATGATAATTCATCGGGTAAACGATCTGTAGAAAATGAAGATAATTAAACTATTACAGCAATAGACAACTGAACATTTTATGATGATATTATATTAAATAATAAACAAAAGTGAAATCCCGTTTAATTTTATTCACTACTGCTTTAAATTCAACAACTGGATATATCTGCTATACTCTAGGATAGAACAACTAGTAACCTCCATCTAACATTCAATAATGAACGAAGCAAATTAAAGTATAATAGGATATATACTTAACTTGAGGGAAAAGTATAGGGCGAATAGATTTATTATTATTATTCCCTTGGGTTCCGAACGGAACATAGGGTTTCAACAACACATCTACACTTTGTTCTACTTCCTGCCAACCTCAATTGCCCACAATCTCTCATCTCCACCTTGCCACACAACCTCCTCCATGACACTTAGGACGCTCCACTCGTCGCTTCTCATTTGGATCCCACTCGAACAATGGCCTGCACATTGCGCGCGATGTCATTTGACGGCTTTTTCAGTGGCGTATACCCGATCAATCCATCTACACTTTCTCCTACATATTTGTTGAGCGACCGGCTCCTGATAGAGTTTCTTGTTGCTGATTATTTCTGGCCATTTGATCTTCAGCATAGAGCGAAGGCAGTTGTTGGTAAAATTCTGCAACCTGTTGGAAATCCTTTTCATAACACGCCAAGTTAACCTCGCCTAGTTACCTAGCTTGCTAGTTTTCTAGCCGGTCTTAAGCCCAAGTAAAGAGATCAGAAAATGAACGAGAAGAATTGGCCATGTTAGATTGTAAAATAAAACGAATCAAAGAAGGTAAATTTCACACCAGCGTTTATAAAAAACAACGCATTCTAATAGGTATTTAGACTTTGATTTATCTCATCCGTTGTCTGTAAAGGCTGGCTTAGTTAAGTGTCTAACAAGTCGAGCAGTAGCACTAAGTAGTATGAGAAAAGACCTAAATGATCAAATGAAACAGATAGGAGAAGCGTTCTTGTTCAATAATTATCCTATAAAATTCCTTACGAAGCCCAGAAAAGATCAGAAGCAAAGTAAACATAATGGTGAAATCAATAATTGCATTAGCAAGCATAAAAGGCAACTAGAATTTAACCATAAGGAAAGAACATCTTTTTTACTGTGTGATATAGCCAATAAACAAATTGATGTGGAATAATTGTAGAATACTTGACCCCGCGAAGATAAGTAATTTAGAAAAAAGCTCAGCAATTGCACTGCATGTACTAACACATAACCACACAATAGGGGAGGGGCAGAGTTGAAGTTCTAAAAAACAATATATGTAGGTGGAGAGAGAGATGGATAACTGAATCTTTGTTTATCGAATCTACATCCAACACATACAATAGGAATAACTCGTCACTAATACCAGAGATATAGAAAACACTACCACCAATCAAATCAAGAGATGAAAAATAATAGAATTATATAAACGAGGTCAAGAAGTTGTGTCAGTAACATTATGCGCTTATGAGCAGTAATAAATTGTGCTTGAAACGTCGTCATCAGTAAATATTATTGTATAACACTGATTAAAACGTCATATAACACTGTGATACTTTATCAAAATAGATTTCATCCATAATGATGTTGGTTTCTTTAAGAAGAGGAAGAGATAGGTAAATATAAACAAACACCACTGCAGCAATGATAACAGTAGACTAGCTAGACAACAACTTACGTCGATTAGGTGCTAACCGTGTAGATAACTGATAATCATATACAAAAAGAGCATAATATAAAAATAACAGTTGTGGAGTTAAATCTTCTTCTTTGTTGACTACATTCTGCTGTTGTTGTTGCTGCTGATGATGTCTAGTTGATGTGTAGGACAAATTTCCAACTGACTTATCTTTCATATTAAATCCTGGAGCACAAAATTGAATGAAACAAGAACAATTCGGATTGGTAAACTCATTCACAAGTTCTTGTTCAGAAATTAAAGATAAATTGATATAAGCCGATGCCGAAGAAACACCAGAAGTAGGCGTAAAGGTAGAACCAGTTACACTAGACATTTCACTTATTGAAGATGAATTAGTACTTGAATTGAAAGAATGTGTAATATGAGCTTCTAACAATTCGGGTAATAGTGGATGAATTGGACGTATACTTTCACGCACTTGTCCGATAATCCATTTCTGTAATTCAAAACAAAAAGGCCAATAAAAGAAAGGTGGAAAGCAAAGTGGAACAGAAAACTGTGCACATACTGTGACAACTAAATGAAAGACTGAAATAGACACTATCATTTCGCCTTCATCGATTCCCTGCTTAAAAATAGAAAGTGAAGTGGTAAGGTGCGCTGACCGGTTTTGGAAGCTGTATAAGCCACACTCGACTGATTGCTGACGAAGTCTCAGAATGGATACAAAAGGCTTGTGTGGCATTTGCTAACTTACTTCAACTCTGGCGTAAATGTGATATCCAGTTATGGGATCACAAAAGACGTGCGTACTGTGCAGTAGTTCGTTTTGTCCACCTTTATGATTGCGAAACATGACCATTTAAAGTGGAAGCGATGAAGAGGCTAGCTGTTTTTGAACACAAATGTTTGAGTTCTGCTTCATATGTCAAGTGATATAATATAATATTAAGGTTAGGCATCGAGTATTAGGTAATGAGGGTAAGTCAATCGATGAAGTCGTGAAGCTAGGACTAGTGGTTACGCATACCAAGTCATCACCTTCCTCGACGGACAGCGTTGGCTAACATAGGATTAAGTTGGAAAAGAGTTAGACGTAGTCGAACCAAAACCTAGTCCCAATCCATGAAGTCTTTGACAGATATAAGCTGACAGCTCGGGGTCCTAAGGATGCTTAAAATCAATGGCTTGAGACTGTTAGTTGTCGTTTGCAACAGAGCTGATACACTCACTCCTTGTAATCTTGTAATAGTTCTTTGTGTGATGCATGAATTGTGGTAAATTGAACTGGTACACTTCTGTGCAAAGTTCTATGCTGAATCTCAGTCAGTACAGACTCTATATAGGTAATTAATTTTGTTGGCTGAGCCCCTGTGCGCAGACACTCAGATAGAGAAGTAGAGAGATATAAAAATCATAGATTATATTTATACAAACTTTCAAAGTGATGCTGATTACTCTTTGAGTGCCTATTCACAACTACCTAATCCTACTTTCAGCTAATATGTTCTGTCAGGGTTAGATAGTAGTGGTTCAGTATGCGTAACAAGCATGGTATGCCACATCAACTGATGGAACTCCAAAAATCTATCGAAAGACTTTCCCTTCCAACTTAAATCATAAATTCACAAAGATTTAAAGGTAACTACTTCGTTTTAAGCTTCAACAACAAAATAAGGTTAACAGTCCTCTTAGGGAAAAAAAAGTGAAATGCAGTCATCTTACCTTTGTGTGTAATTTATTTTTAGCGAATGCATGAGATTTAAGCAGTTGTAGCATACATTGTGTTGGTAAGTGATTGAGCAAATGTCTACTTAATTTCGGTGTAATTGGAATTCGTGCAACCTGGTTAGCAATCATCTATAATATAAAAAGAGAAGGAAAATGCACTCTTTAAAGAAAGATGTTAGAGATTGATAGATGGATAGACAGATAAATAGATATAGTGTGAAAACTTGACGTTAGCATCATCAATTGTAAAAACCTTCAGTGTACTAAAGTGTACCTACTATATAGAATCTGTTAGCAGACTACATTGAGCAGCTACGTTGAAATGAAAAAGTCATCTGCAAAGTTCAAGTTTACAAAAATATATGGCAAAGTCAAATACACTATCGTGAAGTCCTTAAAGATGTGGTATGCTGAAGGCTTTGAGTCAGTAGCTCAGTAATAGAATACTGACTACACACGTGGTCCGCAGGGTTTAGTCCCCGGTCAATGCACTGCCAGACCTCATAAGGCGGCAGTAAGGTCAATAAAGGCGGAAAGTTGAGTGTGAGACTAACACACCCACCCCGTAAGAATAAAAGAAACCACTACCACCGAAACTTCATAGCTCTAGCTTGAAGTCCCATGTTCCACTCAGAATGTTAAGGAATGAAGGAAAAAATACTGTAGGCTAGAAATACAGTACAGTTTTATTTCTTCAAAACAATTGATAATAGATGTATACAATAACACTGTGTAAAAGACAATCTAGTCGAATCAATTAACCTATCAGTAAACCCTAAGGAAGAAATGCCTGAAGATAATAGGTTAAATAATAATTATTTGATTGGTTGGGTAATTTCATCATGAGCTGACATCAGTACGAGAACCACTGGAAAACCAGCTAGGAGTACTGGACAGCTGTTTCGTCCTGGTTTGGAACTCTCCAGTGGCACGCACCCATCACGAAGGTTCAAACCCGGTGTGGTGAGAGCAGGCTGCTAGCCGATTGGTTGGCACTAATCTACGTTAAGGTCTAGGTCACTAATATGGGCCGTGAGAAAATATGAACAAGCCTGAGTCAACAACCAATCACAGCAAAGTCAACGTGGCAGAATATGATTCGCAGAGAGAACTCTATTTGTCAAGGAATCCCGAAACAACCAATCAGAAGCCTGCGTTTGTCTACCTAAACAACCAATCAGATGACTGCGCTTGTCTATAATAATGTTGTCTGAAATATGTATAAATACGTGTTGATTTTCATAATAAAACGATCTGTTGCCTGGCCCTTGTCTTCTGTTGTTACATTTGGTGTCGCTGCCTACCGACAAATGGAATGCCTATGCCCTGCTGTTTTTGATGGAGACATATGGATCTTCGGGCAGGACTTCAAGGCTTCTGCGCAGTTGAGTGGCGTTCAAGATCTGTCAGCGATGGAGCTGCTACTTGGGACGCTGCTGGGAGGTCGGGTGAAAGCAGCATATGAAAGTGTGCGCCGAAGTATGGACGAATGTTCGACAGGGTCAGGCAAACAGTTTCCAAAGTGGGAAGGACCATATATGGTCACTTCGAGATGGGGTTACGCAGACACAGTCGCAATGGCGAACAATGAGAGGCGCGTGAACGTCAGCGAGCTCCAGAAATGGATACAGCGAGACAAGCCAACGATGACGCCTGCACCAAGTAGATCAAGCCGACTTCAGTCGCACGTATTTGACGGGGGGACGAGTGTGGTGAGAGCAGGCTGCTAGCCGATTGGTTGGCACTAATCTACGTTAAGGTCTAGGTCACTAATATGGGCCGTGAGAAAATATGAACAAGCCTGAGTCAACAACCAATCACAGCAAAGTCAACGTGGCAGAATATGATTCGCAGAGAGAACTCTATTTGTCAAGGAATCCCGAAACAACCAATCAGAAGCCTGCGTTTGTCTACCTAAACAACCAATCAGATGACTGCGCTTGTCTATAATAATGTTGTCTGAAATATGTATAAATACGTGTTGATTTTCATAATAAAACGATCTGTTGCCTGGCCCTTGTCTTCTGTTGTTACACCGGGACCTTCTGGCTACAAGTCGACCTCGTAAACTATCAAGCCACTGGGACCCTATCCAATGGCCCATGAATTCTAACTTCCGCCAATTCATGACATAGCGCGACTACTTCCTAATGAATTGGTAGAAGTTAGAATTCATGGACCATTGGATAGGGTCCCAGTGGCTTGATAGTTTACGAGGTCGACTTGTAGCCAGAAGGTCCCGGGTTCGAACCTTCGTGATGGGTGCGTGCCACTGGAGAGTTCCAAACCAGGACGAAACAGCTGTCCAGTACTCCTAGCTGGTTTTCCAGTGGTTCTCGTACTGATGTCAGCTCATGATGAAATTCTCCAACCAATCAAACAAAATCCTCACAAAACCAATACTTGAAAATTATAAATATTTCTTTTTTGTATGAACTCTGATTAACTACTAGTACAGGGGTACACATCAGCGTATATTACTTTGTTTGTAAAGATACAAAATTGATGGCATCCAATATAATCACATTAACCGTCAGACAGATTCCTCAGTCAGTTAAATAGATGTACGAATTCTATGAGAATAGTGTCATTGTTTAATTGTGATGCATAAGCATATCTTAATACACTAAATCTATTGCGCGATGCAGAGACTGTGACTAGTGAAAACAATTCCGATTTTACAAACAAATCGACTCACAGTTTAACTATTTATCTAGAACACTATGTTACATAAGAGAACGGCATCTTGGATACTTAACGACATCCACTTTCATTTGTATATAATAAATAGCTTGAATGATCATACCAGTGTTAATGGTTTTAATATCCAGTTGGCCAGGTTGAAGTAAATAGAGTAAGATTCGATCCTGGAACTCACTGACTGACCAATAAGCCACATTTCCACAGATATTCTTATAATCAGTTACCTTTTTAGCTGTACCTTTGGACAAAACTTATTATCAAAACTTTATATCCGTAGTTGAACAATGTTACTTGATTAATAGTGACTAGTACTGAAATCTAGGACATGGCATGTGACGGTGTTCCCAAGTAAACTCCGACCCAGCGTCGACCATTTAAAACTTGGAAACATTGTCCACTAGACCAGTGACCCACTACTATTGTTTGTTCTTTTTTGTTTGGTGTGCCTCAGTAGCATACTTATCATCCACTACTATTACATCATGTTACACCTCAAACATCTTGAAAGCATCTATATACTAACATCCAACATATCAACAAAGGCCAGATACATCGGGTCTTATTAGACTAAATTATAATAGGTGTATGCAAAATATTTTTTTAAGAAAATAATAGTTGAAGAAGTATGCTGCTTACACTTTCAGTGAAAACAGTGTGTAGAAATAATTTACGCCAACTGTTTATAGTTCGTCCAAGTGATGGTATACGTAAACCAAGTAGTGTTGAGATCAATTCAGTAATTGGTCCAGGTTGATTAGTATGAAAGAGAATAGCTAAAAGTAGCAATGGTTCAATGTACGATGTTGTTTTTGGCAATTGATTACAACTGGACAAATACAATGATGATACTGATGATAATGATGACGATGATGATAATGACGATGATGATTGAGTAATTGAATTGAAAATGTCTTGTTCATCAATCAAGCGTTGAAGCCATGAAACAATTTTATTCTCAACATCTGTACTCATGATTATTCGACTACTACTATGGACAACACTACCATTACTGTCTGAAGCTAATCTGTATGAAAATAATAGTTAAATTTAAGTTGAAATTAATTATAACTAGAATTGAAATTAAATGAATTTAATGAAGCAGGAATTACCACAGTACATCAACTTCATAAATATTAGTTATCCGACTATATCATTTATATACGACGAGTAAGACAATAATCAGTATCCGGCTCCTTGATCTCTGGGCTGAGTTAAACTGTGTATACTTCCAATGCCCTTGTCGCCAAAGTAGTGAAACGGCTGTCCGGTGTACAGATCACTTCGACTGGGAGGTACTACTGGTCGGTGTGAGCAGTAGAGACCTAATCATCTTAATCAATCAGTAGTAGTTATAAGTAAGTAGCAAAATATCAAGATGTCATTATTTGGAACCCAGGATACGCATAATGTTCTGTTCAAAAGGATAGATGAAGGTTTCATGTTTCATTGGGGACACCACCAATCATTTGCGGAGGGGTGGAGAAGGGATATAGGTATATCCTGATCAGAAGAATCTTAAACAAAACAAAATCTGCACCCTAAGGATTCCGATTCTAGCCACACAATCAACCGAATAACATCGTGCTTAATCTTCAGGCATCGTTGAAGTGTCCGTATAATAGAAGCTGATAAGCATTCCGAGAATAAAGAGAGAGTATTTTGGTCCAGTAATGGAAATCAATAAACATGATATGCAAATTAACTTTTTTAAAAATAGTAGGAAAATATGTATATATGAAAGCTTACCCAGTTGTTAGACTTGATCGTAATCCAATAAGAAAGGCAAGTGAATAACTAATATACTGCAAACCACGTTCAGAAACGACAGTTCGATGCGTTAGAAGAATAAGTAATCTTTGAGAAAGTTCTGGTGGAAAGCTAAAGACAAAGAAAATCGGTCTAAAATTTGTATGCATATGAAGTACAATTAGAACTTTGTATACCAGTCTTCGAGCGTTATGTTGTGGGTTTCATTCTGAGGGGAATACAGTTCCGCTCAATCATTTGATAATATAATACAAGGACAAGTCATTCTCCCATTTATAAAAACAGAATGTTCACACAGGTGGTGGTGTGAACAGCCTATATTTGCAATCCATTAAATAGACAGGAAATAACACAAAAATTTCTCTCTCTCTCCCACTCTCTGTTTAACAGACTTATGATGACATACCATAGTCACAGTTGCTCCGTGTTGTAAACTGTGCTTCCGTTAATCGAATAATCATCTTAAGATAATTCACTTCAAAACCCTTATTTACATAAAATAAAACTAAGTCAGTTTTCAACAGGTAATGGAGCGTAAATCGAGAAAAATATTGGTCCAATATTGTTTCAGGAATGGACTGATGCACATCTAACATATGTGTGAGGCGAGTTCAAATTTCAGACAGGAAGTCAGTTCTTTCAGAGTTGCAGATAAGCCTTATTGACAAGGGCCGACAAGTACCAGACAGCATCCTGTTGATTGCCTCCAACTATCTGACATACAGGCTGACGTCAGCTAAAAGATGTCTTGACAACCAGGAAACAATTAATAGATGACACATCCCATTTCAGAAGTTCCGATATTTTAGAGCACACCCAGTATACTGAACAAGAGGTAATAACGTTCACCACTCCTAAATTGGCAGCAATACAACATACCAGAGAGGCCAGCGACATTTCGGAAATCAAATTTATACTACTATTTGTTTACAAGTAGCATACTGCGTTTTAGAAAAAATAGAATCTGAGTAAAACGCCCTCAAACACCACTGCCTTCTGTCACCACAACATTTAAAACAAACTAAAGTTAATTTCATGAGTGAGCGGATGGATAGTAGTTACCGCAGGATAAAATATAATGTCCTCTGAAACAATAGTCTCGCCGTTACATCTGGTACCGCCACTTTGGACTAAATGAAGATCCCGTGGCAGGAAGCCATCGAAGTGGGAAACATCCAGAGCTCTCTGGGGGTGCTGCTGTCGAATCTCCTGAGAATTCGAGGGAAAACCACCATTACAGTAGCACTTAGCCTTCATACCTTCGTATCCTAACCTACCATCTAATATCAAACTAAAGTTTATAAAAATGCCAATGTACACATTATCAGTAAATTTAGTGGTCACACAGCACACAGAGAGAATTTAAATCATCACACTTAGTTCTAGATGGCTATGTGAGGGATTTCAGATAAAGAATTAAAAAGTAGGTTGAAAATACAAAAATGCTTTTGAAGTGAATGTATGGCTAATACTTTATAAAGTGAGTCACTTACTTGTAATTTACGAATCCCCGAAATGCAGCCAGCACACGAAGTAATGTTAACGCTGTGAGAATTACACTATCGTCTAAAGGTGCTGTAGAATCACTGGGTATGAGACTGTTGGTTACAGTCATAAAATGTTGACTTAATTTATCCAAATATGACGAGGAAGACTGTAAAAGGCAAGCACAAACCCAGAAAAAATTTCTATAATAGACGGTAGACAGTGTACAAAAATTCACCAAAAATATGAGAATCTTGCTAAACACAAAAATACTGTTTTAAGTAAGCAACCACCAATTATCTATCTTTTTCATTTCACTTAAACGAGGTCAAATATTTTGTATACTGGCTATATGAGTTACACAAATCAACTGAAAGAACCCCATTCACATTTCGCCCACATTCTCAGTAAACCCATAAAAACAGCAAATCCCGATAAGCATATCTATCTGGTAGCGAATGAACAACTATCAACTGAAAAAACAGAGATTACTTGACAAACAAGCATTTGAGTTGTTCTCACACAGTAAAGCATCGCCAACTTGATCACTCTCATTTAATCGATATTTACAGTCACTTAATTTACCACCATTACATCGATTATTACTTTTTTCGTTCCTTGCTTTTAAAGTAGAGCATACAGAGTCAACAGCACATCTTCATTGCACTCAATCTCCGAAAATTACTTTCACCTGACTTCATAAACGCCCACAAGCTTTCATTCCTCCTTCACATAACCACCTTCAAGTCACCGTCAAACGCACAACTAATCGCTTCGAATTCCTTTTCACTTGAGGTCCTCGTGTATGACGCCACTTAATGGTCTTCTCAATGTGTATCCAACCCAACTCCACTTCCTGCTGAATATTTCTTGAGTAGGAGGTTCTTGGTTGATTTGCTGTTGGCTGAAGTTCCCTGTTGTTTATCCTTTCTGACCACCCATCTGATCCTCAGCATCCAGAGGGGGTATCTGTTGAGAAAGTCTATAGTACAATTTTGGAAAAGCTTTTGGTGACGTACACGTTGTCTGTGGGGCATATAAAAGCACCTGACATTAGTGTTGACAATTTGTACCTTGCCTGTTTTATGTCTCTATGACTTTAGAGTAATGGATGCGTAACAAGCAGTCACCGCAATTAATGACACACGTTAATTAGTAATAACGTGTAAACTCATAAAGAGTTAACAGTAGTCAGACCGAAACATGACATTGGCCTATGCCGTCTCTGACTGTCTGTGTGAACCAAGGAAGTTGTGGTTCGCAAGGCTGAAGGCTTAGAAATGCTGAACATCACTTGTTGGGGGCCGTTGGTGGGATGACACGAAATCATCTACAGTGACAAGATGTATCCAATTTTTGTCACCCTACAAATTCTGAAAATCATTACCAATTTCCATTTAATTATTTTTTACCTCGGAGTTCTATTATATTTTACACATTTCTAGTCAAAGTGTGGCAACTTCAACTGGTGCACTTTTGTGCGATAAATCAGTCAATCATGTAACCAGGAATTTACAAGCTACATAAGCTACAGTGGCTTATCCCCCCTATATTTGAATTCACCAAATCCAGTTGCATCATACCAGTTCCCACAACTTCACTTACAACAACGATGAAAACCACAGAGAATGTGATTTGTTAACACAAGTAATCAGATAATCCCCCCAAATGCTTACGTTTATGCTTCACGCGTAAAGTTCCAGCTTTATATCCCCTTTAAATATTGGTTTGCCTCCTTTCTATGAGCGAATACGCTTTCGCTTTGTATGATGGATGATGTCAGTAAGTATTTAGTATACAAGCATTAATATAGTGAAATTAAACTGGCACTACTCTTACATAACTATGTTTTAACCTATCAAGTTCAACAACGAAACAAAATATGTTTATTTCAGCACAATACACTTGCAGGGTGGGTGTACTTTATAAAAATTAAGAGTTTCGCATGTGACCAGGCATAGTCCTTTATCCGAAGATAGAATCATAAAAGGGCGCCAATATGATATTAAGGAATGCACACTTGATAAGACACTCACAGTACAGAAAGAAAGCCATTAATTATGGTCAAGTGTGATGTAAATCGTGGTTCATATGACATAGATACCAGACGTAAATTATGTTGGCTGTTATCAACAAAAACACCGATCCGTAAATAAATTGTCTGATAGACCAAATACTGTCCAAAATTACCAAGTGTTGTATTTAAATTCACTTGTTTCACTTATTTTAAACATCGGCAAAGTGTGTCGATGCACGCATCCGTCATTGTAGATCAGTAATTCAAGAGTAAAACAGATAAACTTACTGACATCTTCAAGAAGTTGCTCATCCACGACCTAATTTCTTGACCACTGTCTAGCAAAATTCTTTTCAGCAACATCAATGTGTAAAGGTCTTTGTTGATTAATCCAAGAAGTAAATCTAAAACTAGGCCCGGAAACTGCCGAGTAAAAATCTAGAAAAAAGCGTTGAAAATTACAACAACGATACTGACATAAAATTAATAGGACAAATTGACACTAATATACAAATCAAGTAGTGACAGCGAAGAAAAGGAAGTGAAAAGCTAAGGAAGCTAATGAGAAATATAAAACTACAAAAACAAAACCACACTATCATCGTCAATTTAATATTTGAATTTTCCAAAAAGAATTACTTAAGAAGCAGAAAATGTCCAGCTACTTCACGAACAGGAAAAGTGGTGAGAGACTACCAGTAAAATGGTGTCTACAAGTTCACATGTGACATATTAAGTCAGTGAAAACGCTGGGTCGAAATCCATATTGAATAAGCAAACCAACTAACTGGGACACTCCATTGGCTGACATGAGCATCTTCGGAGAAGTACACTTCTGTATTTCGTCTTTGGAACTCAATAACACTAAATTGTCCATAACTTAACTCATACATGGGCAAAGGGACATTATAGCAACTGTTTATTAAAAGCAACAAATGTTTAGAAAATAGCACAGTATGTTATGTACATTTTCAAATAACAGGCATGGCACTTACACATTTCTCCATCACTGTAACAGCACTGTTTGGCTTCAACTTCACTAGGCAAAATAAAACAACCTGTATGCGTCGTAATAAAGATGTGCCTAGGTATCTCCCACCGTTCGGCTCAGAATCTTGAATACACGAGTTTGCATTTTTATACTCACTGTTAAGATAACATTCAAGATATGAAAACATTCTCAGAGCTTACTTTACTGTGAAAGACTTTTCTACCTTCCATAACTCACTAACTATTGACCACCAGTTGGAAGACAAATTAACGACCAGCTTCAATAAAAGGCTATAATTGACTTGATTGCAATGGACTAGGTATCCACGAAAAAACTTTTCAACTAAATAATGTTTTGATAAGTCTTGACCTTAATATCAAAATCAAAACACAATTACCATGAAAAATAATACATAAAATAGCCACAACCTCAGTCTCCAGAGCTTCCGTTTCTACTAGTTCACAACAGCTCTCCAGAGAGCATTTCGAATCAGGTTTCTTAAAATTTTAGACAGGTACATTTTGAAGACCTACTTCATTACAAAAGTGAGTGACGAGATGCATGAGAGTTTTCACTTTTCCTAGGACATTTTGTGATTCATAATTGAGGCTCAGAGATGCGAAAGAAGTAATACGCCTAAATTTGTTGTATTAGCGCAAGACGCTTTCTTACGCAGATGAAGATTCACTGCATACTTCCTCCCAAATATCTTCTAATTTCAGGCTACTAACAGATCCTAAAATTTTGATGATTTCACTTAACATATGACGTTGATCATGAGCTAAGGGTCCACTTGTGACGTATTTCACCAAATCACCACACTGGAATAAGACTGGTGAAAGCAAAATGACTTCATTAGCATTTAAATTCTCGAAGTCACATGTTGCAGCTCTGTCGAAGACCATTTTTTGTAACGAACCCATTTAAAGACTCTCCCCAAGTTTAGAGGTCGTTTCAATATCCAACGTCTTTACTTTGAATCATCTCAAATGGATTTTCAGCACTTGATTTTTACTGTTAAAGCCACTTTCCCGGTGTTTTAGAGCCTCACATAGAACGAATCCGGCCAATCTGTTGTTATATATCTGTCAATTTCACGAGCAGAAAGACATATATTTGCTGGATAACGTGTGTTTCATTTGGGGACTCTGCTTTGTCACAATTTTGAGACATTAACTTTACGCCAGTAAATAAATCCCGGTCATCACTTGAATGGAGTCATCAAACCTCCGAAATTCAAAGAGTATTCGAAGACTTACAGATCTCACCAACTCGTATGGTAGTAACTTTCAGCTCCTGTGTGAGCTATTTATTGACTTATGAGGATTGGTTCGACGTTATTCTGGTTTATAACTGCATATGAACTAAAATAAATATCCATTGCTGAATACTTTCGATGCAATTATAACTCCCTATAAGTTCAACTCCATCCTAACTGCTATGGTAAATAGCCCGAGGTCAACATTGCCACAGACATTACTATTAGCAAACTAACTACAGTTTTGCGTGAGCCAGTTCACGAGTTTACGATTAAAATACCGTACTATACATTATGTACCATTTTACATTCTTGTGCAAATTAGACCATTTGTGGCCCATCTTGGACTACTGTGCATTTTTTGTTTGAGTAAAAATCCTCTCCACACCAGAAAAACCAGCACATACAACAGTTATTTGAAGTGAGGAGCATGAAAGATAGATCCCCGTAACAGTTCTTATACCACCCGCAACAGCGTGAAGCGTGAAGCGCGGTGGTAGTAGGTCTGCCCAGTCAGTGTTCGATTGTAGCCCTTCCAGAGTATGTGCAGCAGGCACTGGTTGCGCTACATGTGCGAAATCAAGCAGCCTCCTCAAATGTGACGGGCACCCCTAATACCCGTGTTGACCAAACCCCCAAACGCCGAGTGGGCACAGATACCATGGGACCACTTACAGTTTCGAGACTAGGCAACCAGTACACCCTGGTCATGGTGGATTGCTTCACCAAATAGTGTGGAGCTGTACCATCACAGTAGCAAGGCGCAATTACCATCGGTCGCGCATTCATTGACGCTGGGTGTCTCATTCTTGAACCCTAATCTATCTACACTCCAATAGTTGCCTCTGAGAGCCACATTATTTCCCACCTCTGTAACACTTTCGGCATTAGGAAGGCTCACACCACGTCGCAACATGATCAAGGAAACGGTTTCGTGGAATGGACAAACAGAAAAATAAAGAGCGAATTTCGGGTCTTTCTTCGTAACACACCAGAAAACACATCGTAAACGTTCTACCTCAATTCTAGCTCTCACACCGCTCCTCAGTACACAGGTCAACGAGGTTTTCTCCTGATCTGCTCTTGTTTGGCCACGAACCCACCCTCCAGTTGAAATCCATACATCAATGTTACCCTGCAAAAGTACTGATTGCATTTTTTACGTTCAGGATTTTCGCAACCGCTCTGGGGTAGCCTATAGTCCGGCACGCACTCGCCTACAGTCCTCCAACAGGTACCAGAAGAGTATCTTTGATCGGCTCAGGCTGCGACCAACTTTTTCAGTTGGTGATCAACCTGGCTTCATCGACCGCCAAGCCCCGCTAGCTCATGCCCCAAGTTTCACGCCCATGACAAGGATCTTATGAGATCGTCTAACATCGAACACCAACTATTTATGTTCTGCGGAACCTGCAGCGACCTTGGGATAACGTCATCACCACTCACTATAATTAAGTGAAACCACGTCATCCGGTCACCTTAAAAGAACCATCAGATGCATCCCGACTACCACCTGCCACATTTTCGGCTGGAAACAAACTGTCACTATCCTTACAAGAGGTGAAAACGTACTAGACTTATTCTTCTGCCACAATATAAGCCTCCTTTCAACCCTAGTAGGTTCTGAGTTTTCAGGGAGCGACCACAAAACAGTGATGTATGCACTGCCACTTCCACTGAGTAGCAATGCAGCTAATGCCCACACTTCACAAGTAATATACAGGACATACAGTAAGGCAAACTGGGCCCTCGTAGAATCAGTGCTGAGATCCTACAAATGGGGCGAATACTTCACTACTGATGACCTCTCGAGAGCTCTGAGCATCTTCTACCAGAACACAAACACATGCTTAGTTGCTGCCATTCCACTCCAAGCACTAAAGGTTTCCCCACATACAGTCATTTGTAAAACGAAAGGATCGTACGAATCTGAAGGGACTCTTAACAAGTTACTTCAAACACCAAGACTTTGGCGCACTAGGTTTAATACTTAGCATTCTTAGCTTCATCTCACAAGTTCGAGATTTCCGTATGAGAAACGAAGAACGCATCGAAGTAGCCAGTCCTGCTAGAGTGTATGCACTCACAGAAATCTTAAAGAAGCGAATGAACCGCCGAAATCACACCATTTCTCTCCTCACAGACAAAGGTGGGCTATGCATTAACTCTGCACACATGTGAGAATTGTTCAAGAAAACATTATCGGCTAACTACCTTAAGCCCTCAGTCCAGCTACTCGATATACACCCTACCACTAATATGGCACAAACTTCATCTCTACTCACACCAAAACAAATCAGTACCGTTGAATTCACTCATTCAAACATTAAGCACATTATTAGAACTCTCAAATGCTCGAAGGTTTTGGCACTGACGGTATATCATCCTATTTTTATAAATATTGGTGGCCACTCTAACAAAACATGTGTAAAGCCACTACTAGAGTACTGTCCATTTATTGTTAGCAGTACTTGCAAATGTTACAAGCTGAGGGCAGAAGGCATCCAACGACATTTCACCTCTAAACTACTTGGCAAGATGATCTTTTATAAAGCTGATATTCTTCCTTAAGGTCTTACACAAAATATCATTCTCACACAATAAGGATATACAATACTCACTGGGAGGCTCTTACGATCTGCGTAACCAAACTTGCACAGTGACAATAAAAGCCTTTGAGTCAACACCCCGCGAAAACTTCTTCACGGTCATATATTCTAAAATATCGAACAGCCTGCCCCCAGAAGTCAGAACTTGCACCTAGGTTATAAGTTTCAATTGCTCTCTGTACATAATGTTTCACTCTGCTGATTATACTAATTAACTGTGTATTCCTAGAACAGACCAACTTTTAGCTTACTACGGTACCAAAAAAGCGCGCATAAATTCCCTATTTACTCTACAAACGATAAACAGACTAGTCGCAGAGATGCATAAAAAGACTGAGTAGAAATAAATACATATGTTTACTAAATGGCAATGTACAATGGATATAAACGTATGTGTACAAACATAAAGGTTCTGTCCGTGTCCACATATTTTGCTGCTCGCCTCTTTTCTTCTTTTGCCTTGTATTGGAAGTTGCACACATTTACAGTTAGACCAAAGATGGGCAAGAATAGAAGTCACTTATTCATATATCATCCTTCAAGGTTTTGGCTGGTAATGACTCAGCGTCCTTAAAATATCCACCGTCACCATGATAGGATTCTGTACAGCATCCTATACAGGCAGTATCCATGATCTAAAATGGCTAACAAATAGCTTTCTGCGTGTTGATCAACTTACTCGTACGGAACAACCACGCGGCGACAACTGGTGATTTTGGATGACCTGAGCACAGAAAAATAAATCTGCCTGACGATAACCAATGTTAATCTGCATTTAGTAGAATTCACATCGGGTGCTACCTATAATAAAAATGCTGACAAGTATATACAAATAAATCACTTATTTCAAATAATTACCCAAGCTGTATTAAAATCAAGAACAAGATACGATAACGCACACACCAAAGTTATATGGAGGAATTGACCTCAAGCTTTATTCTTTTCCTAAACATTTGTGATCCTTCCAACACACGCCTGTTTTTTGTGAATGAGAAGACAACATTTCTGTATTTCTTAATGTTCTCCATTGAATGACTAGTTAGCAGACTGTACCCACAAACTAATGTCAAATGGGAGATCATTTGTGTAATTTTACCATAAATCAAATTTATGTGATTTTCACTAGCGCTGATCCACGCCTGTGAAACTGGCGTCCTACATAGATAGGAATGAATATATTATTACTTAGATTGAGGTTACGTTGTTTGTGGGCCTGTCAACGGAAGAACTTTCTCCTTCTTAGTCCAGATTCACAGAGGCTCCTAATAATGCTTCTTCTGTCAGACAGACAGAGTCTTACGGGGTTGTTGACCAATTATCTGAAGCTATGGCTCAAGCTTTTCAATCAAATGAGCCTGCGTTGCATTTTGCCCACCCTTTGCCACATGAACTGGAGTTCGGTGATGACTTTGATCTGTAGTCGGACAAGGTGCGTCGAAACGTTAACGTGATGAACGTGCCTCACCCGAATGTATTCGTCGTCGATTTTGTTGGGCGGCCCCTAAAAATGCACGTAACTGGTTCAAATTATGAGCACATGCCCCTGACCACCGTTTTGAGTACTCTAAGATTACTAGTATTGCCATCAATACGTCATATCGAATCGCTAAAAAGATTTACTGAGTGCAACCAGAAACAAAGTGGATCCATCAGCCAGTTCAGCTTGTGTATCCTCAAGCTTGCTCGCCAAGCTATGCTGGACAGGCCGTATTCCGAAATCGAAGACGCTGTATTTTTCAGAATCTTGCGTGGTGTCGACTTCCGTTACGGGAAGAAATTCAACTTGCGCACTCCAGCGTTTATGGCAGAAGCTGAAACTAGGGCACAGTTACTGGAAAGCCTGGAAGAGCCGGGAACCACGTGCCCACAAGTTAATGCAGTGGGCTGTCAAAACGGGACAACAAAACACGCACAGAATCCCATATCACAGTGGGAAGGACATCCACAGTCGCAATTTACCTCAAGAAACGATTTCTGCTAATGTAGGTGGCTTGGTAAGCTTGGTAGGAGTTATGGGAACAACACAACTGAATCGCAAGTCGATATGAACCGTTTA